ATTCTATTTCCTATGTTAACAAAGCTTTTATTGTTAATTAGGATCTATGTTTTGGCACAAATTAACCCTGTCTTTAAATATAAAAGAAGTACAACCTTTAACGTTACTGTCCTACTGTTACCAGATTAGGGGTCTTGCCCAGCTTTCCACTGTCCTAACTGAAGGATTAAACAGAAACCCTAGAAGAACCATTAGATCAAAGATTTATTTGAAAGAGAAAAGAAACAATCCATTCCACAGGGTGAGAGTTGTCCAGGGTGAAGAGCTCACATTCAGAGGGAGGTTGGCCTTAAAAGGAGTTAAGCCTTGGAGTTGCAGTGGTATAAAGGGTAGGATTGAGGTCTGTCTCCTGCCATGAGCATGCATCTTGACTGGCTCTTCTGTAAAGAAGTAGAGTTTTATGGTCTTTGGACAAACCATCGTGGCATGCGGAGTCAGTCCACAGGATCGAGAATAGGGCTGCAGGGTTCTGTGGGATATTGTCAAATCTGCATAATCTGTGCCAAATTATGTAATTAAGGTTGAGGTCTGCTAAGGGGTTCAGGAGGTGACTCTGCATCCCTAATGTAAGCAAAGCTACCTGGTTACCTTTCCCCATTCTTTGCAGACTTGGACACCGTGTCCTGGGTTCATCTCTGAAGGCAGATCTAGTTTGAGAAAGTAGGCTCCACTGTGTGCTGTCCCTTCTTTCCTTTCCTGTGTCTGGGTTACCTTCTGCTTGTGCTCTAGCTCAGAAATTGGGCTTCAGTATGGGCCTCTTTTCTTTCTCCAGATATTTCTTTTACTATGTCTTGCCGCACTGGCTTTTTGGGAGGCAGAGGTAGGAGGATCAACCAAGTTTATTCCTGATTTGTCCAATTTGTAAAGACCTTGTCTCAAAAAAAAAAAAAAATTGAGGCCAGGGACATGGCTCAGTAGAATAAATGCTTCCCTGGCAAGCACAAGGGCCTGAGTTCAATCCCTGGTTTTGCAAAAACAAAAACAAAACCAAAACAAAGCAAAAAGCCAGGATGTAACTCATTGTACAGGCCCTAGTTCCCTCCTTAGTGCCGTGGAGCCCAGGGACCCAGCCTGGATCCAGCCCAGCGTGCAACTTGAACTGGCTGTGCAACCTTGAGTGAATTTTCTTTGGTTTAAACCAGTCTTTGTATCTGAATTCCTTCAGCTTGCTCCAGAAAACTGTTATTTCACATAACATTCAGTTCAAGAACATTGTTCAGTATATTCCACCTACTTTTACACATTACTTTTTATGCTTTTTCTCTCTATCGTCTTTATTCTTTCTGCTGCTATTACTAATCTCAGTATCAAAGATGATCATATCTCAGACACTGGTTTGTATACTTTATATGCATTAATTAGTAAAAAATCAGAATTGCTACTGTTATTGCAAGCTATTTTATAGTGAAGAATATTGGAAGGCAGATCACCTTTATGTTTGCAGTCACACAGTGTAAAGATAATAAATGGCTCCTTAAGATATAAACCCTATGAGATAAACTTGTGTGTTTCCTATTTTACAAATGAAATGTGAGATCAATGGGTCACACAGTTGATACATAGAACACTGAGGTTCTGACTTTCTGACGCCAAAGCTCAGGTAAGCAACTATATTTATGACCTAAGATAATAAACTTTAAGTCACATGATAAATTACGATATGAAGAATCATGAAATTTTATGATTATGTTAGTCTTCCCATGAGCATAGAACTTTTTAAATTCTAAATATTTTTTTTTAAATTTTTATTTATTAGAGAGAGAGAGAGAGAGAGAGAGAGAGA